GTTTGAAGGGAGGACAGGGGAAGGGGAAAAATAAGAACCAAGAGAGATTATGTAAAGGTGCAAATTTCCAATGATGAATGACATTATATTGTACACCTAAAATGTACCAATAAAAGGATATGCAAAAAAATACATACATGTCAAAGATTCCCAGAAAGAGATATTTTAGAGAAAGGGTAGGTAAACTCCAGTATACGAAGGCCACTAGCCTGTTTATGTAAATAAACTTTAATTGAAACACACACAAAAAAAGAAAAAGAAAAATAGAGACTACATAAAAAGTCGTATAATCCCAAATTAAATTTTAAATATATATCATGTATTGAAAATATACCAAACTGTTAGCAGCCACACTACAAGGATTAATCAGGGTTTTAATTTTTCTCTTTATGTTTTCCTGAATTCCCAATTGCTCTACCACACACCTGCCTTAAGAACCAGACCACAAATGTTACTAAAATGAGACTCTTTAAGGATTCAATTCAGATATTAAATGTTTTAGTGAAGAATTCAATCGTTAACTGTTTCTACAAATGTTTCTATTTACAAATACAATAACAACTATTAAGTTCAGAATGTTTCTCATACTCCAGAAATCAACAGTGAGTTGGAAATATTATGTGAGCAAATGTCAATATGTTCAGCCACCTATGTTTCTGCTTTTCCTGGTAAAATCAGTTCAAAGGCGAAAAGAGGAATGCCAACCACTTGGAAGGCCTTTTTTCTTCCTAATAAAATTCCTTGAGAGTTACATTCCCATCATAAGGAAGAATGCTTTATATCTCCACCGTAGAACACAGATAGCTCAACTGTTGGGTTTAAACAAACAAACAAAAAAACCCCAATTCATTTGGAAGGTCTTGATTCTTTTATATTTGTAAAATATCTAGGCATATATAAGAATACTTTTGGTCAGGATAAATCAATATTAATTTCTCTTAACTTAGTAGGGACACTATTCCTTTCAGCTGGTTCTCCCTTTGTCTCTGATTACGTACGGATAACTCTGGATGACCATCAGGAAATGCAGGTTTCATTTTCCTCCCCCCATCTGTGTTTACCCACGGTCCTAGGCTGTGGTCTTGTGACCTGGCGAGGGTGAGTGGGGTATCTCCGTGCCTGTGCCATCTCTGCAGTCTGTAGCAGCTGTGGGTGCCCTCAGTCTGGGTGCTTGGGGCAGGGAAGGGAGGGTCGGCCTTTGAGGGGCTGTGCCGGGCAGGGCACCCTCCCCTTAGACTCTGCAGCGATTACAAAAGCCCAGTGCATGTCTGAAGCTTCCCTGTCTCTGCTCCCCTGTGACACAGGAAAGAGCCCTGATTTCGAGCCGGGGGTGGTGGGCACACCTAGAAGTCCAGTATGCAGAATGCTGAAGCAGGAGGATCCCAAGCCTTGGTGACTTAGTGTGACCTCTTCTCGAAATACAAAAAAGGGGGAGCACTGGGGATGTAGTGGGGTGTAGAGCACTTGCCCAGCATGCGCCAGCCCCTGGGTTTAATCTCCAGTTCAGAACACACACAAAGGATCCTTATTTTGTGGATCCACAAATGTTTCCTCCCCCAGTGTCTCGGAACCGGTTTGGGGTCTGTTGAACATGAGTTTCCTGGGCGGGCGGAGCTCTGGGCTGTGGAAACAGTGGGATCCTGTGGTCTCCAGGCTGAGTGCTGCTGAGGAGAGAGTCCAGCAGCTGCTGGAGGACTGAGGGAGCGCAGCCCACAGCTGGGGATCAAGTCCCGGCAGGACAGACTCACCCTGGCAGGGAGGCTTGTTCCTGTGGGTGCTGCTCACCGGCTGTGCTCTGAAGGGGCCCAGCTGTGATCGGTCCCTGGGAGGTCAGAGGGTCTCCTGGCACCACCAGGCTCAGCGCTGAGCTTCTCGGCTTGAGAGCAGATTCTGCACACCTGACCACAGTGTCTGTGTCACAAAGCAGAATAAGCTAGAGCACCCTGCCTGAAGCTGCCTTTATTAAGCTTGCAGTATGCTTTAGGCTTGGAAATAGGACCTCCAGGAGTGTACAATGGACTGTGTTTGATTTCTAGGTTTTCCCTGGCTCAAGTGCCTCTTAGCCTAGTTTAGTCTTTGCCTGATGAGTCTACTCACACAGCACTTTTGTTACCAATGTTTGATATTCTAATCTAGGATCTGGCAGAAGTTTTCCATAAGGGCAGTAGCTTATTATGATGACGATTATTTTAGGTTGGATACAGAGTCATGCTAAGTTGCTCCACTGCCCAGGCTGGGCGGGAGGTGCAGCACCTTGCGCAGTGCAGGTCGTTTCTAATGTCCGGGACCACCTGGTCCCTGTAGCACTGCGCAACTCCACCCAAGTCGTGTGAAAAGAGCCACCATGCGTAACCACGTGGACATGACTGGGTGCCAATAAAACTTTAGGTACAAAACTGGCACTGGCAGGCCTGGCCCTCGGGGCACAGCTGGCCAAACCTGCTCTATCTGTCCTGCAGCTGAAGCACAGACCTCGGCGTGTGCGCTGCTCTAGCAGCTTTCAGGGATCTCTCTCTCCCTCCCCTCTCCCTGGTCACGGTGGACACATCTTGTACACAGTCTACTTCCGGTGATTTTTAGAGAGCACATAAAAGCCGTATTAGCTTTTTCTTAAACATTTCTCAGACACCAACAGAAGGCGATTGGTCCACAAGCCCAGTTTTTCGACCTAATTTAAGAGGGAGATGATCTGATACTGTAAGTAACTGAACATTGAAGTGGTGATGTGAAAATTTCCTGTTACACACAGCAAGAGCCTTGCCCTGCAGTCTCAGCTCACGATCTCAAGGCTGGAGACAGGATGGTCTCCTCAGCCTCTCCAACCACGTGTGTGCGCATTTTGTGACACAGGAATGCTTCTTTGTACTTTGGAGAAAGAGCCCTGCGGGCTGGTTCAAAATGCGACACACAGGACACTGAATTAAAAGCAAACAGTTTTATACATTGGAAAGCAGGTGTAGGCGGTGTCTGAGAATCCCGATAAGTAACAGAAAAGACTTTGAGGGCCTCTGTGACATCAGCACAGGGTGAGGGAAGAAACCAAACTGCCTTTTAGCGTGAGAAAATATCAGACACTCTTGTGATCACATCTTTTCAGTCATTAAAGAGAATAAAGTGGCTGAATATTAGAGAAAAACCAGGCCACGCATCAGCTGATTGCAGGGAGTTGTTAGAAAGTGTCAGTGGTTTGTTATTTTTCTTTTCCCTCTGACATAAAATGTGTCCATTTGCATTAACTTTATCTAATATCTATAGCTTGCAGCAACAAAGAAGCTTTACAATGATGCTATGCATCATTTCCTGATAATTTCAGAGGGCGACTAAAGCAATGTCTGCAGCGCTCATTTTCTGATTTCTTTTTTTTACATTTGAAGATAACAAGATAAAGGTGGACAGCATTTCACATCCGAGTGCACAGAATCATTTTAGCAACGTTAAATAACAAACAGGACAACTGCATCGTGAAGAAAACCTGCTCCTCCAAACACCCAGTGCTGTCGTTAAGTGGCTCAAAACCCAGATCTATAATTGTGCAACATTCACCATACATAACAAGTAGATACTAATTTTTGACAAATAGCTGCTAAGGGGAGTTCTTTTTAAAATTTCTTTATATGTGTGTATATATAGTGGACTTTTGAAAAAGATTCTTGCAGAGGAGCCCAAGCTGCCTCCGCCACCTCTGACAGTTGGGGTTACACTCTCCCTTGCACACCTGGGGTGTCACTCGGTTGCCTTAGCCCAGGTTTCTGGGTGGTGTATGCGGTGGGTGAAGGCCAGCATGGGTTCACTTCAGTGAAACACAAGGTGGGGAGAGAGAGTCGGGGAAATAAATTACTGGATGTGGGGCTGAGGCAGAACTCTGGCGTCTGCTTGGGTCTAAAGCTCCCGCCATGGATCCCTGAGTCGGTGTTGCAAAGACACAAGCAGGGGAAGGAGAGGGCGACTGAGCGCTTGTGAGACTCACGTGTGCTTTACGTTTATTTGAGGCGCTGGGGTTGGAGCCAGGGTCTGAAGCAGGCCGGGCGAGCGCTCTACCACCGTGCCGCGCCCCCCCCCCCCCCAGCCCTTGAAATATATCTAATGGAAGCGCGGAGGCTTCCCTGGGATAAACATGTTCTGTCACAAAATAAGGACACAGCAGCTGAGGAGACCCAAGGGCGCGCTGTGGAGCGGGCGCTGGCGGCTGACCGGAGCAGACACCCGCACCCTCGGGCTGGGAGTGCGGACGGCCTGGCGCTCACTGCACAAGGCTGCATCCCGGGAAGCTGTGGCGTGGACGTGCGGGGCTCCGGGTCCCAGGTTCTCAGCGGGGATCCCGGGCCCTGGGGCCTCCGACAGTGTTCAGAGGCGTTTCCGGGAGTCGCCACAAGAGGGCGCCGCGGGCGAAGGCTCGCGAGCCGAGGTTGGCAGCTCTAGGGAGGGAGCCGAGGAGGGCCGGGCCGGGGAGCCGACTGTCGGGGGGCGCGGAGCTCCCTTTTTAGGGCGACTTGGAAAGTTCTGGAAGGCCTGCAATCCTAGCACTCCGGGAGGCTGAGGCAGGGGGATTACAAGTTCAAGCCCAGCCCGGGCAGTTTAGCAACACAGTGAGCCCGTCTCGAAATAAAAATAGCAAAAAGGAAAGAAGAGCTGGGGATGCAGCTCACGGGCACAGGCCCTGGGCCGTGCCCAGAATCGCGGGAATGATCTTCCGTGTGCGCCGGTTGCAGCCAGGAGGAGGAAACGCGGAGAGCAGAGGCGGCCCTCGCGGGTGAGGTGGTCCTCAGTCCAGGAGGATGCCGGCCGCAGCCGCAGGCGGAGCTGGGCGGCCCTGGGCCCGGGAGGGTGACCGCGTTACTTCTCCTCTGCTTTGTTTCTGGTGCTGAGGCGACTGCCGCACGGCGAACTGCACGCCCAGCGCCGCTTCCATCTCCCGGGCACGGGATGAGGCTATGAAGCGGGCGGATGGGGACAGGGACCCGAGCGCGCTCAGGGCACGGGAAGCTCCTGCTGATGCAAAGCGGAGCCCGGCGACTGGTCCAACAGCGACGTCCACAGCCGCCCCCCTCTCTGCGGAGCCCGGGCCTGGAGCGCAGGCAAAGCCGCGTGTGCGGAGCTTTCCTGTGCGCAGCGCTGTGTGCAGCGGGACGCACTCATCGGGTGCAGAGCGGGACAGGGACGGTGACGGAAGCAGGCGGCCGGGACCGGGAAGCGCAGGGAACGCTCAGCGCTTCTCTCCCAGCGCCTGGAGCCTCCTGCGCGGCGGCCCAGGGCAACGGGCAGGGGACAGCGGCGAGGACCCCGGGCCGGACCAGCCTGTGGTGTGTGCTCAGTCCAGGCTCAGGGAGCTTCATACAGCAGCTTCTGCTTTCTTTCTAAGAACGTTTTACGAGTCCTGTGTGCGGCAGGTAATGTTCACATTCGTCACGGGAGTTGCTTTGCGCACACAGCACACGTCAGTCCTCCTTTACTCCCCCCAGCTCCTGTTTTCATAATTGGTTTCCCGTATGTGCCTCAGTTACTTTCCTCAGGGCTGAGACAAAATACCCGACGCCCAGAGTTAAAGGAGGAAAGGTTTCTTCAGCTCAGAGTTCATAGCAGTTTCTGTGCACGGTCGTCTGGCTCCAAGGCAGGGCGGACGGAGGGGCAGAAACAGTCCATGGCAGGCAGGGGGAAGCCAAGCAAGCAAGGGTCCTTCTGCCCCTTTCATCCTATCCAGGCTACGCAGGGCGCTGCGCTCACAGCCTGAATCCTAGCGCCCTTGAGCCCAGCAGTGCAGCCCGAATGAGTCCCAGCGCCACTCACTCTGGATCTCTGAAAAGCCCTAGCTGTTCCCAGGAGCTGCAGCTGCGGCCCTGCGGGGAGAAGGGCAGGAAGCCGGGCGGAGGAGGCCGAGCCGGGCGCATCGGACGCGCCCTGCAGAGCCCGCGGGAAGCGGAGGCGGGGGGGGGGGGCCGTCGCAGCGGGAGGGGCCGGCGGAGCCCGCGGAGGGGAAGCGGTCGGGGTGACCGCCGGGGACAGACGGGCTGGGCGCCACCGCTGCTGGGGGACGCGGGGCGCAGGGCCAGGGCCTGGGAGCAAACCCAGCCGCACCCCAGGCCCAGGGCCCAGGGAGGACGGAGGAGGGGACGCGGCGCCGGGACCGTCCTGGAGCCTGCCTGGCCGCCGCCTCAAGAACCAGGCCAGGTGTGGGTATGGGGGGGGGGGCTGAGCGCCCGGGCGCTGCTCAGTGGCAGAGCACTTGCTTAGACTGTGCCAGGCCCTGGGTTCCATTCCCATCCCGGAGAGGGCGGGCTCTGAATGCCAGCACGCTGGGAGGCTGAGGCAGGAGGATCCCCGGCTGGGCTACACCCCCAGGCCTTTCCATTTATTTCTTCGTTTATTCGGAGACAGGGTCTCGCTAAGCTGCCAGGTTGGGCTCATGCTTTCTAGCTCCTTCTGCCTCAGCCCCCAGAGGGCTGGGCTCAGAAGTGTGAGCCACAAACCCGGCCCAACCCCCTTTGAGGATTCTCAGGTCTTTCTGTCACTCCCAGCGCCCCGTGGGCGTGACTTCCACCAGAGGATTAGAGGCCGCTGGCAGGCCGCGTGGTCCGCGCTTTCCGCGCTGCGGCGCTCAGTGTGAAATCCCCGCCGGCCAGGCCTCGCCCGCACACCCGGCCCCGCCCCCCGGAGCTGCGCCTTGCGGCCCGGGCTTGCCGCGCTGCTCTGCCTCGCTGAGTCCCTGGGACGGTGGGGGGGGGGGGCGGCCCGGAGCGGCGGGCAACGCGCGCGTCCCTCTGTTTTCCGGGGCTGAGTCCGAGCCCGCGGCTGGGCGCCTGGAAGCGCGAGTCGGGGGCGGCGGCCCACCCGGAGCGGCACCCTGGGCCCCCCCTGAGCCGAGCTCCAGACCCCACCTCTGGGCCGAGCCCGGCGCCGCGGTGCCCAAGGGGCAGCCAGTGACCGTGTGGTGCCAGGGCCCGCCGGACGCCGAGGAGTTCCGGCTGCAGTTCGAGGGGCGCCTCTTTGCCCGGGGGAGGCCGCGGAGCCCCGGGGCGCCGTGCAGAGTCCCGGTCCTCATCCCGGCCCTGAGCTCCCACAGCGAGGGGCTCTGGTCGGAGCCCAGCGACGCCCTGGACCTGGTGGTGACAGGTGACCCCCGTGCTTCCCGGTCCAATTTAGAAAGGGGCCGGGGCCGCGGATCGGTGCCAGGGCCCTAGGTCCGGTCCCCAGTGGGAAGAAACGGGGAGCAGGGAGGGGTGAATGCGCTAGCCGTGAGCGCACCGAGCAGCGACCACGCCTCCTTCCCGTGCTGTGGGAGCCGCGACCTGGGTTCCACCCCAGCGCCCCGACACATAAAATAACATAAACCCAAGCAGGCTGCCCACCCTGGGCCGGGGGGCTCTGGGCAGAGCTGGGGCATCGGCTCCTCCCACAGCGCCCCCACCCGGTGCCGGTGCTGCCGCCCAGGACCGAAGCCAGACACCGGGTGCAGGGGGCTCCCCGAGACAGGTCGGACACGGGACTAGGGGAGGGAGCAGAGAAGGGACCCAGACCCCGGGTGAGGTTGGGGTGAAGGAGGGGCGTCACCCACCGCCCGCCCACAGAGATGCCCTTGGGGGAGCAAGTGACCTTGTTCTGCCGCCTGGAGACAGCGACCGCGACTGGCGAGTTCTTCCTGCTCCAGGAGGGGAGGCCCAGGAGCCTGCCGCAAGGCCGGGGCTCCATCCAGGCAGAGTTCCCCCTGGGCCCGGTGACCGCGGCCCACCAGGGCACCGACAGATGCTTTGGCTCCTACTACAGCCATGCCTGGTCCTTCCCCAGCGCTCCCGTGGAGCTCCGGGTCGCGGGTGAGGACAGCCCCCACCCCCAAAGGGAATGGGGAAGATCCAAAGGGACTTACATTTCTTAGAGACCGAGTTGGCATAGCAGGTAAGAGGGCACAAGCCTGCAACCCCAGCCCTCTGGGAGGCTGAGGCAGGAGGATCATGAGTTTGAGCCCAGCCTGGGGTACTGAACTTCTAGGCAAGACACTGTCTCTACTCAGAGTTAAAAAGAATGGCTGGGGGTGTAGCCCAGGCAGTGCAAAGTTCAGTCCCCAGGAGGGGGAGAGATCCATATGGTGGTTCTCAAGGAACAACACCAGAGGGGCGGAGCGGGAAGGGGAGAGTATGGAGAACACAGAGGGAGACCAGAAGGAGCCCCAACCTGTACCTCCTTCCATTTCCAGGAGGCGGGAACACCAGCTTCTCACTCACAGACCCCACTTCTCCAGGTGAGGAAGCTCCGGAAAGATTAAACCTTCCCGGTGCACTGGGAACGTGGGGTCCAGCGGGGTCCAGCGAGGGCCTGGCAGAGCGCTCACCCCAGCAGGCGGCCGACCAGGGAGGTGGCTGGCTTGAGGAGGAAGTGACCCTGTGAAGACAGCAGTGGGGCTAAGCCAGGCCAGGCTGGGCGCTGTGCAGCGGCCGCCCAGCAGGGGGCGCTCGAGCCAGCAACAGGACGTCAGGGAGAGCCCGGGTCCGCGGGGGGAGAGGTCCGGGGAGGGGGCGGCTCCCCGGCGGGAGGACGGCTGCAGGGAGGCGGGAGGTGCGGGCCCGCTGCCCTACAGGTCCTCCTGTCCACAGCGGCTGCGGACGCTGAGGAGCCCTGCGCGATGCCCACAGAGCCGGGCGCCCGGAAAGGTCAGTGGCAGCGGCGGCGGCTGTTCGGCGGGGCTGGCGGGGCGGCGGCCGGGAGGGCGGAGGCGACGCCGGGTCCACGCTCAACCGGCTCTGCTCGGTCCGCAAGCCCGCTGCTCTGGGGCCTCACCGCCCAGAACCTCCTGTGGCTCGGCCTGGCGCTGCTGGCCCTGGCGGCCCTCGTGGCTGAAGAGCGGTTGAGCAGGAAGAGGGCGCGCGTGAGCCCACGGAGTCGCAGCGCGGTAGCGCGGGGAAGCCGGGGCGCCGAGCCGGGCGGGGAAGGGCCCTAAGGGCCGCGCCTGACCTTGCTGGGGGCTCCGCGGGGCCGAGGCGGGGTCCGCGGGGAATCCGCGGGGCGCGTGGGCTCCCGGGGGCGTCCTGGGGCCGGGCGAAGGGGCTGGGCCTGCTGCACGCGCCTCCTCGCAGCCTCTGCCGGGCTGGGGTGTTTGTGCAGCTTCCTGCACGCCGTGTTTTCACCGCTCGGGGCTGTCGTGGAAGTCGCGCTCCTTCAACAGCAGGGCCACGGGAGATTCCTTCCTACTTAGGTGCGCGCGCGCGCGGGTGTGAGCGCGCGTGGTACCGAGGACTGAGCCCCGGCTCTGCACTGTGCTCCATCCCCAGCCCCCCGTGTTTGTTCCTGTGCTGGGACAGACTCTTGCTAAGTAGCAAGTAAGATCCTGTCTCAAGTAAGCCAGAAGAAAAGGGCCGGATGTGGCTCAGCGAGGAGGCTCTGGGCCCAGTCTGCAGCGCCAGGGAAAGGGTTTAACCCGGTCCTGTGCGCAGTGTGCTAGGTTTCCTTAGATCAGAATGCGGCGGCCTGTTCTTCAAAGAGTTGTTATCGGGTTTCAGTAAAATGCTGTTTTCTCGTAAAATTTGTATCCTGTATCTCACAGGAGTACATGGTTTAGTCTAAGATGGAAAGTAGACGTTAAAATCTAAAGTACTTCAGTGTATTTAAGTGTAAAACTTGTTCATTAGCTTTTTTCCCCCTGAAAGGTCTAAACAGAGCCTCTGCACTGAGCTACATCTCTAGTCATTTAGTTTTATTTTTTCTTTTGAGTCAGGGTCCTTCTGAGTTTCCTAGGCTGAGCTCGGACTTGTGATCCTCCTGCTTTGGCCTCCCCACCACCATCTTTGAACGTGGACCTCCTAGTTTTCCATACCTTGCATTATTTAATTTATGTCTATTTTAGTTTTCTGATATAAGAGAAATCACTCAACATTTAACTTTCTCAGTGTGGCCCATTTCACATAATGTGATGGATTCCAATTCAATCTCCTTTCCTACAAATGTCGGGGTTTCATTCTTTCTGGGTGAGTAGTACTCCATGGTGAATGTGTACAAGTCAGTTCTTATCCATCCTTGGCTGATGGACCTCTCTGCTGTTTCCACAGCTCAGCGGTTGTGCACTGGTCACCTCCTGTGCCTGCTCAGGCTGCGGGCCCTGGGGAGGGAGCAGGGCTGACAGGCGGGGGTGAGTGCCCCACTCCCCCTCACTTGGCATCTGCCTCAGGCCCTTGGGCCCTGCTGGGTGTGCCTAGGGGGACACAGTACTGAGGAGCGCGGGGCATCTGCACCCCACTTCGCACTCGGGTAGACGCGAGCTGGGCGCCCAGAGCAGACTCCGCCACGCTGCCTCGCCATCCCAGGGCCCTCCAGGCCCGCGTCCCAAGGAGCTGATCACAGCCACCCCGGCTAGCGGCGCCCCCAGAGGCCACTCTGAGACTTCTTCCTGGCAGGGCGCGGGGCACCGCCAGGAGTACGAGGAGGGCGACTGTGAGGAGCGTGCCCAGCCGTGGCAGCTCTGCCCAGGCCCGGGCGCAGCGAAGCCCGGCTCCTCGCTGATTCCTGGAAGGACCCCGGGAGGCGCCTTCGTGCAGGCGCTGACACCAAGAGTGGGTCATGAGGTCCCAGGCGCTGCCCGGTCCCCGAGAAAGTCTTGGCCTCTCACCCTAAGCTGCCCAATAGGCCCCGTCTGTCCCTTTAGTGAAGGCTTCATGCATGGCCTGCTCACCGTTGGCCACCCGCCCACTCAGCCCTTCTGCAACTGCAGCCTCCCAGGAGCAGAGGCCCAGATCTTCTGTCCCTGAGTGTGGCAGCAGGAGAGCGCTGAGCAGTGACCGGCTCCCACAGCCATGCATGTGTGTGCTACAGCATACGACCAACAGGCTCCGGCCGCAGACAGAGTTAGGGTCGCCCTCAGCAGACCAAGACAGGAGACTATTCTGCATTATCTGGGTGGGGCCGGGGCAGCCACAGAGACCCTAAAAGAGGAGGAGGCCACGGGAAGGGCTAGGATTAAGGACAAAGGGTCTGCATGCCGCGGTGGGAGACCACTGGGATCCTCTGTGGCTTTGCAGGACAGAGGGGCCCAGGAGCAAAGAGAGGAAGAAGCGCCGGGAGGTTAGGGAAGGAGAGATAGGGAGGTCCCTGGAGTCTGCACAAGGACACAGCCTTGCTGACCCCGTGGCTTTAGCTCTTGAGACCCAGTGAGGCCCGTGTCCCTCGGAGGAGGCCTCGCTGCAGAGATTCAGGCCCAGGAGCCCCAGGGCCCCACCCTCCTGCTCTGCAGAGCTGGGATGGAGAGGGAGGAAGACAGGGGCCGGGCCACAGCAGGGGGCGGGGCTAGGCTGGGCCCAAGGCTTCCAGGTCCCCAGGTTTCCAGGAGGAGGGAGGTGGACCCTTCACTCACCAGTGCAGGGCAGGCTCTGCAGGTGACCGGCTGCTGCCTGAAGAGATTCCTGGGAAGAGGACAGGAGAGGGGTGGGGACTGAGGCTGCCCCGTTCCACCCTGTGTGAGGCACCATCGTGATGCGCAGTGAATCTGTAAATTCAGAATTACTGCAGTCAAACTCACGTTGCCATTAACCCCTCAGAATGCCCCCTTGCTTTAAACACATTCGTCCCAGCACTCTGGGCACCTCCTGAAGCAGCTCTGAAAGTCCTTTTCATGTCTTTACTTCGAGATGAGACACAAAATAAGGTGAATGCTGCCGCTGAGCGCCGTGTGAGAGAAAGGCAGCTGGTGAAACATTGCAGTGTGTCCTCATGCACCTTAGTCACTGGATCCGGCACCCGTGTGACTTCTGGCTCTTCCTCAAAGTCAAAATGACCGTGAAAAGTAAAGTTTCGAGTCAATTCAGGACATCGAGGCAGCCAGGGAAATGCCACTGGAGACCCTCAGGAAAGAGGACTCCAGAACTGCTGCAGAATGTGGCAGGAATGATGGGATGAGTGTGTTTGAAGCTAAGGGATTGTTTGGGGGGACATTAATGGAAATGTGTCTTTTACAGTAGTGAACTTTTACAGTTTAAACCTGGTCTGTATTCTTCCAGCACAGCTCATCATACAGACCCCCTTGAGGTTGGTCCTCGGCCAACACTCGCTTTGTCCACTAAGCTGAGGCTTGGGAGTCCCTCCCCGGGTGCCCTCCCAGTCTTCAGGGGAAGCGACTTCCCCTGGAGACACCAGGGTGTGAAGAGACACAGGACAGGCTGGTGGGGAGGCCTCTGCGGGCAGAGGTGAGCAGGCACAGGGAGGAGCTGTGGGCGGGGGGCTGCTGGAGCCTCTACTCTCCCCTCCCCTCTGGTCCTCCTCTGTCCTCCTGACCTCTTCCCCGTCCCCTGCGTCTGTGGCCCCCAGAGTGGCCTCCAGGCAGGACAGGGGGCGGATGTGATGTGCAGGCGTGCTGCCTGCCTTTCCACTTGGCTCCTTCCCTCACATCCAGCCCCTCTCCCTCTGTTTCCCTGGCTCGCTTCCCTCCATCCTGAGCAGGCCACTCCGCAGACTCAGCTGTAGGACTGAGTTAGGTCCCCAGCAAGTGGGGCAGACGTGAGACTGAGAGGTGGACAGGGTCCCTGGGCTGACCACTCATGGCGGGAGCCATGGAAAGCACCGTGGGACCGATAGGTGGCCCCGTGGGCCCCAGGCTCCAGTGGGAAGTCGGCCTAGAACTCGCCGTCATGGCTCTGCTGCAGCGCCAGCGTCCTGGGGCTGCCCTCCCTGGTCAGGTGGTGCACGGCAAAGGGGCGCTCGGAGCTGCAGGACGAGGTCCCGCTCTCCTCTGGCCGCGACACGAAGTCCAGCTGGCAGAGAGGGAAGGCTTCTCCTACAGACCTGGGGGCAGTGAGGCGGCCTCGGAGGCTGCTGCTTGTGGCCGGGAACTTCACCCTTGACCTGAGGTTTCCTTCCCTATGCCAGTGACTTGGCCTCTTCCGTCTCTTACTTTCGTTCTTCCCCTTTCCCTTTCTTCCTGTCTGCTTTTCTGATTTTACTTACTCTGCCCTTTTTATCTGCGTGTATCTGCGCGTGCGTGTGCGTGCGTGTCTCCATCTCTGCTCTTCATTGGCTCCTGCTCCTGTAACGTCTGAGGTCACTTGGGAACATGGGCCTGAAAACCATTTTGGGGACTAGGAGTACGCACAGCACGAGGAGTCTCGCTTTGCTCCTTCATCTGGGACACGAGGGTCTGGGGATCTCAGCTCGGCCAGGCGGCAGGAAGAGGTGTCATCAGGAGCGCAGCATCCACGGGTGCCACATACAGTGAGGCGGGCGGGAATGCGGATGCCTTCACGGGCCTCCGCCGAGACAGCTGAGCCGGGCCCTGAAACTCCGGCCAGACACGTGACGCGTCTGGTCGCCCCGTTGAGAAGACGGTGCGAGGGGAGGGAAACCCGGCTTGTGCTCCGTCCCGGTCTCCGAACAGCGTCGTGGGTTGGTGCCCTCTCTGCCTGTGTTTATCTGAGGTGGCTCCATCTCACTCTTTACCTGCGTGCCTGACCCGGGTCTGTGCTTCGTGTTATGACCAGCGCTCTACCTTTGTGTCCGTTTTTGTCGTCTCTGTTGGTAAAACTCTCACCAAGTCTGTCTCTCTCCGAAAAGACCCCACTGCCGTCTTCCTCACGGTCCCCTAGGGCTCTGCTGCTACACCACCTGCTGTGTCCCGAAGAGGGTGCAGGACAGGCGGGGACGCTCTCCCTGTGATCACCAGGTCCAAGGGTCACTGGGGGCTGACCACTCATATGGGGAGTGACCGAGAGACCCTAGCAGCTGTAGGTCCCGGCAGGGTGGCTGTCACAGGGCCATGGGGAGATGGCCTGGGCGCTCCCATCCTGAGGCTCCCCTGTGGGAGCACGGGGTCCTGGGCTTCCCGTCTCTGTGCAGAACCCTGATGAAGGTCTCAAAAACCATCTGTGAGAGGCACTGCAGGTCACCTTCCCCCCAATGTCACCAGGGGGCCTGGCTGGACCAGGAGCAGGGGTTTTCTGTGGACCCCTGGAAACAGATCGTGAGTTTGGGGTCAACCCCTCCTTGCCCCATTGCCTGGGTCCTGGAGTGAGCGAGGGTTTCCCCGCCCCCAGGTCTCTCTCTTTCCACTCTGTCTCCCTGGTCATCTCTGTGTCTCTGTCCCCTCTTCCCACATCTGCCTCCATCCCTCTCTGTTTTTCTCCATTTCTCTGTCTCTATAGCCAGCGTCCACAACCCCTGGGCCGTCCTTGGCATCTGCCTCTTTTCCCCGGGGCCATGGCGGGCTGCACTTCCAGCCTCTGCTGTCAGCACAGGCCATGCTCTTGTGGACAAGGTGGGATCCCTGACAGTACAGGAAGCAGGTGACGTAGTCCTCCTCATGTCACCCGTTCTGCTCCTGCCGGGCTCTGCTGTCACGTCTGTGCTTTCTCTGTGGTCCCAGCCTCCACGAGGTGCCCCTGAGGCTGGATCCAGGAGCCCCACCACTCCCAGCCTGCTGGTGGCTTCAGCATCCCGCCCTTCCTGGTCTTGGGGTCTAGCTGGGCTTCTCATGTTCAGCCTCCTAATTTGGCCTGGTTCTGGGAGCCTGTGTGAGTTTCCAGTCGCTGCTGTAACAAACTGCCTCCAAGTTGTTGCTTAAAGCAGTACAGATGGGCTCCCTCCCCGCTGTGCACTCAGCAGCCTGGAATGGGCTGCGCTGGCCCATTTCAGGAGTCTGCAGGGCTGCATCACTCCTGGCTGTGGGGGAGAACACACTCCCCTCCTCTCACAGCTCCAGAGGCTCCTGGCCCTTGGCTCACAGGCCCTCCTGCACCTTCAGAGCCTCAGAGGCTGGTGGGGTCTCGGGCTCCACTGCTCTGGCCCTCGCTCTCCTCCCTCATCCTCTCTCATGTGTGTCCTGTGGTCACACTGAGCCCACCTGGAAGCCCAGGAAGTCTCCCACCTCCAGGGCAGCTCAGCAACATCCAAATTCCTCCCCACCATCATCTACTCCCATCATAGGATGCAAATACTCACTGGCTCCAGGACTGGATGTGGACATCACTGTGGAGCAGTTGCTCAGCCTAGCACAGTGCCCAGTGCCCTGTCCTGAGTCCTCCTTTCCTAAACACCTGAGATGGTTCTTATCACCGCATTGGCCCCAATAACACTGCTTCCAGAAAACTCTGGGAAGAAGAGCTGCCAGGAGCTGCCACTCCAGACACAAGCTCTCTGACTGTAAGTATGAGGACCAGGGCGTCACTGAGTGCTAAGAATCTGTGAGGAGCGTGAAGAAAAGAAGTGGAACATCTGTAGGTCCCTGCATGTGCTGGCATCACAGGGCCCAAGAGGAAGTCCTTTTGGAACATTCTGTCCTGGATCTCTGGGACATGAAGCCCATCTTCCTTGTAGAGCCTGAATGTACCAAACCCATGAGGAGAGTTGCATTTGAGAACCACATGCTGTCCTTAA